ATCTCAGCAGCAACAACCCAAGTACAATGACAGCCCGACATTTACTTCCTTGCTTGCCTACACTGTTCCACATACAAACCTGTATATATAACGTTCTTCGTGTGTCGACTTGGACTGGTCTGCTTGGAGTCAGTGTCAGTTGGGTATCCATGTTACACTGCCGAATGCTATCTGAGTGGCGCAGCACTATAGAACCAGAGTACGTCTGAACCAGTACGATCAGTCACATACACGTGCATGCATGTTGGTATATACGAGTAAGTACACTTTTATTGCACACATCGTTAAACCCAGTTTCACGTCAGGACACTGGCGCATATATACAAGAAAGTATATATACAAGAACTGAATTAAGCACACCTGTATTTGTTATAGGTTTTCAACACGTACATAAAACTTCTCGTGGTGACCACGATGGAAAAACATAATATTTCTTCCTTTGACTCATAACAAAATGATTGGAATCCATGTTGATTTTATTATGATAATTGTTCATTTTTGAAAAAACCCACTGATTTTCATACAAAGCCATGTCTGTACAAGTATGGCCCTGGGATGTTTAATGTTGAATTTATTGGTGAATGTGAACATTCAAAATGTCATTTTACGTGTCTTACACGATTCAAGGTCAATAGCGAGTGTAACCGTCATGTGACTGTATGCCAGCCAGCACCCTCCTCCTCATACCCCCTGTCAGCCTCCTGATCCTCTGGAGAGGCAGTCTACGCCATTTGTCGTGTAAAGCAGCCTCCAAATAGGCCAGGTTCTGTACAGGAGGATCCCTTTGTTGCACACGATGACCAATCGTGTCCCAGATATGCTGCAAAGTGTTAAAAAACGGGTCTCATTCAGTCGTGAGATATGTCAGGAGGTGCTTGACTAAGTTCTTTGTGTATATAAAAATATGTCATACTGCCAAATACTACCTGGAATAACACCATGCCGAATAATGGAAGGAGTTACGCTCTACCCAGAAGGACGCATGGCCAACTACTGCTGGGGACAATGTCATATTGAATGCAGCCAGAAATGCTATAAGCTAGCATACTGCCTGGAGTGATGCCATCAACAGAGCTACGTATCACACTTTGCCGAATGCTACCAGAATAACACCATAATAATTAGGTTTACTTGCAAGTGCTTTACGTGTTCCTGAAGTCATGGGCATTTTGAATTAATGCATTACATGCATGTGCGCTGTCAAACACACAGCTTAAAATCAGCGTTAACATGGCGAGACATTACTTGACTTTTAGCACAAAACTGGGAAGCAATTGGCATGGTTAAGAGTGGAAGCTCATTACGACAGGTTGCCACCACATTTCAGAAGTCTGTAAGCGTGATGTCCAGGCTTTGGGACCAGTATAGACAGACTGGGGATGTCAAAATGAGACGTTGTCGAAGACGGAAATCCAAAACTATCCCTACGGATGACCGAACCCTACGCCTTATTGCCTTTCGAGACCGTATGGTATGGTGATGGTATGGGGCGGGATCAGCTTTGAAAACAGAACAGATCCGATTCGTGTTGATGGGAGGATGACAGGTATACGCTATCGTGATGATGGGAGGATGGCAGGTGTACGCTATCGTGATGATGGGAGGATGACAGGTGTACGCTATCGTGTTGATGGGAGGATGACAGGTGTACGCTTTCGTGTTGATGGGAGGATGACAGGTGTACGCTTTCGTGTTGATGGGAGGATGACAGGTGTACGCTAACGAGGATAACAGGTGTAGGATTGATGGGAGGATGTACGCTATCGTGATGATGGGAGGATGACAGGTGTACGCTATCGTGATGATGGGATGACAGGTGCTACATGATGGAGGATGACAGGTACGCTATCGTGATGATGGGAGGATGACAGGTGTACGCTATCGTGTTGATGGGAGGATGACAGGTGTACGCTATCGTGTTGATGGGAGGATGACAGGTGTACGCTATCGTGATGATGGGAGGATGACAGGTGTATGTTATCGTGATGATGGGAGGATGACAGGTGTACGCTATCGTGTGATGGGAGAATGACAGGTGTACGCTATCGTGACGAAATCTTAAATCCGATTGCCATCCCATTTGCGCGTACGGCAGGAAGGATGTTTGAGTTCCAAGAAGACAATGCCCGCCCTCATATTGCCCATGTTTGTAGGGACAGACAGAGGGCTGCAAACATCCGAGTGTTGCCATGGCCGGCTAAGAGTCCCGAACTTAGTCCCACTGAACATCTATGGGATGTTCTTGGCCGTAATGAACGACCTGTGCAGCCTAACAACTTGGATGAACTTTCCTCGGGCTCTACAAGAAGAATGGCGTAGAATCCCCATTGGTACTGTTCGTAAACTCATACGGAGCATGCCACGACGATGCCAAACATGTTGTCCACAAACACGGGGGACACACCCGATATTGAAAATGATCGCTAAAGACAAACATTTTCATCTGTGTGACCTTTTCTGTTACCTCTTCAAATATATTACAATGACAATCAATTCATGCGTTCCCTTATTTTTGGAGGAAACGAAAATTTATTAATGTAACGAGAAAATACTCGGAGCAATGAGTAAATACTCGAAATTTAAAAGTTGTTGAAAGAAACTTAAGAACCGAGAAATTCAACGAGAAAATACTCGAAGCAATAAGAAAGTACTAAAAGCAACGAGAAAATAACTGAAATAACGAGCGACAAATGAAATAACGAGAAAATACTTACAAGCACCGACAAAATTCGGCAGCATTAGGCTTTCGTACATTTTGGCCTTTAAAAACATGTGGGACTGGGTATTTACACAGTCAACAACACTGTAAGGTGCGGTAAACTGTTTGATGCAATGCGACATTCCAATGAAATATATAAATTATTTTATTGTCGAATCTAGACATTTAAAATGTTGTTTATCAGCGGAATGTTAACTGAATTCCGACAGGAAGAATGTCAAATGGATTCTAAGAGTCGCTGTTTCTGTAGGCACTTTCTAGGGTACTTAAACGGTTATTTTTGTAAACCATTGAAGATAAGGTGGCAGCTGCGGTTAGTTGTATTACAAAGAAAATAGGTTTTGGGGATGGAATTGGTCTGTTTCATTCTTTTTTATCTCCTCACTCTTTAGGGTGTTAGTCTCAGATGCTTGTTTCCTTTGTAGGGTAAAAGAAACAACCCATTTGTAAACCCATAAAACAGATATGGAGTCACATCAGATGGTATAACCGCCCGTTAGTAGTTGCGTGTAGAGATGAGGCAATAGGGCGATTTTGACAGCGGATTCCCGCTCTCTTTTATTCATCACTGACTTCACATATAAAATCATCATTTCATGAAATGGAATAATTTAACTCCCCGAGTACGGGAAAGTTACCATAATACAACATGCATCACGGAGTTAGGTTCGAAAGAAGCAACTGCACCCTCCCAGGCCCTGTTTTACAAAGCGATGTTGGCAACCCCTTTGTCGCGAGTCAATGCTATCGGTGTCACAGCAGATGGGCTGAGAAGCAGAACGACCTAAGTGAGGCTGGTTGTTTTGCCATAATCATGCCCCACTTATCGTCATGCTGAGATCCACATTGTGGTGGAATTTCACGTTGATACATTAATATTCTGCAGAATTACGGCGTGTTGAATATGCATGATTTATGCAAAAAGACCTCATAACTCATAACAGTTTTCGACTCTCCAGAAAACCTACAAAAAGGGACTTAAGTCAAGTTACTTCTCAACCCTTCTTGTGTCCTGGTGCTTGTGAGCGGCGGTGGGGTGGCCTCGTGGTAAAAAAACGTTCGCTCGTCACGCCGAAGACCCGGGTTCGATTCCCCACATGGGTACAATGTGTTAAGCCCATTTCTGGTGTCCCCGCCGTGATATTACTGGAATATTGCTAAAAGTGGCGTAAAACTACACTCGCTTGGTGCTTGTACTTTATGAACACGGGAACTCTTTTCAGAATGGACATGAATACTCGTTAGTGGTTAGTGCTTATGAGATCGATGCAGAGCATCTAAAAGCATCGGTGTGTTTATCTCAACCGTGTCAGCACAACACACTAGTATATAGTTGACACCATACAAATTATTTTCCTAAGATATATAAATAAAGATTGCATAATTCGACTGTACAAGTTATACAGTACTGAAATTAAAGCTTTAATGACTGCATCCTGGAATTTCATGTCACTTTCGAATCGCTTTATCCGAAGAACTCAGTCCATACAACAGCCCCCTGGATCTGGGCATCATCTGGGTCTACCATGTTGCCTATGACGAACAGGAGCGTGTAACTTGGCTAAAGAAATGTGTCGACAATAAGTTAGTTGTTCAATTGAGGTACTACAACATCCAAAGCTGGCTTGGGTGAGCTCAGGGCCTCCTTTCACAAAGCACTAAGGTGATCGTAAGTCACTAAGGTAACCTTAGTGCAATGTTAACGAATGGGAGCTAAGTTTAACCTTAGTAAACGATGGCATCACAATGATCGAAGAAGCATTGTGAAACCATTTTGTTCGTGCAGTATACTAGTCCTGGGTGCCGTTGTACAAAGCGATCTTAGCGCTAAGGTGACCGTAACTCCCATACCTTAACATACTAGTCCTGGGTGCCGTTGTACAAAGCGATCTTAGCGCTAAGGTGACCGTAACTCCCATACCTTAACATAGACTTAAGGTAGTCTTAGAGCTAAGGTGACCGTAACTCCCATACCTTAACATAGACTTAAGGTAGTCTTAGAGCTAAGGTTGTTTTGTACAACGGCACCCAGGACAAGTATACTGCACGAACAAAATGGCTTCACAATGCTTCTTCGATCACTGTAATGCCATCGTTTACCATTATGTCACAGTCTAATTATATCACGTAACTCTCTGAAGCTCTTTAACTGCAATTTTGTTATACTCAAGACACTGATATCAATATTTACAAACTGAAAAGGTAGAATATCTCTCTTGTATCATTTAATATCTAATGGCTATACACTTGTCAATAAAAACTTAAAACTCATCAAGAAAAATCGCAGTTATAAACTTTTAATTGACTCGTGTTGACATTTGATATGAAACGACAGCGGGATGAGATTCTCTATCTGCCACAGCACATCGAGTACCGAACACTGGCGAGTATGTAAGGAAAAACAAAACGACGATGCCGCGATCTCTGAGTGGCTTCATGAGGATCTATGGACTGTTCTCCCTCGAGCGTACCAGGATCCGACTAAAGCTGGCGGGGGTCCGTAACTTTCAAATACACCATACCCTCGCTCTTGAACTACGAGCAGCATCACAGTGGAATGTTTCATCCGACACATTCGTGATGCTGTCCTCAGCGGGGTATAAACAAAACTCACTCATCCATCTCTTGATAGACAGGATGAAAAAACACTGTTTTTGCTTGTTTTATGTACAGCCTTGACGTCTGACTCAGGTAAACCCCCACATTCAATATTCAGTACTTTCCTGCATGTGTGATACACTGGCGGTGTCAGGGTCACTTCTCAAACAGGAGTTCGCCATGAAGATGGGATTCAGACGGACTTTCTGCTGCGCCGTATCCCGTTGTCGCCGACTAAACACGTGGTTCCGTCAAACAAGGGGAAACATGCTGCACGGCTACCGGGATCCCATGCGCATCACAGGACAGCATCTGATGTTGATGTAGATCTCTGGTTCTGTGACTAACCGGGACTTCAGGTACAGAGCACAGCCCTGGCTATGATTCACAGCGTCGCATCTTGAAGCCTTATCTCAACAAATCCTAGTCATCCCTTTTCAAGGGCGCCGTTCTCATTCCTGCAGAGGGAACTGTTGAGGAGCTGTTCTTGACCAGTATTGGCCGACGCCATTTCTATATGGTCTGTCTGCTCGGTCACCACGTCCTGGTCATCATCACTGCAGTTGCAGCTGCACTGTCGGACCTCAGGAATAAGCAGCCAGAAGAGGGGTCGGATGCCCGGGCATGCTGATCGGAGCCAACTCAGCGCCTGCATCATCTTGACCGTTGATTCACAAGTCGTGTCCACGCAGTTAGGCTGTAACATCGATATAGCGCCATACGGGAGCTGCATTGCCAAGGTGCAGAAGTTGATCAGACACAATGACGTCACAACGGATCTATGAACTCGTTTGATGATCCTCATGTCCAATCGTTGTCCGATAAATGTTATGCTAGTTATTTCTCCGAGTTCGTCTGGTAGCCCTCCAATGACTGTCACCAAGACGAGGACTGTCAACACCATGATGGTGATTGCTGGTATGTACAGAGATATCAACGAAGACGCCAAAAAAGCCTCCCCTGTTATACCATAGATACAAAACTCAGGATGAGGCTCTTGAACAGACGACAGCAACCACAAGGGAGACAAGATGATGCTGCTTACTACCCACGGCATCAAGATGACCAGACAGCGCAGGGACCATTTACTGAAAAGCGTGTAGTACACTTTGGGTAATAGAGCAAATATTAGCCTGTCCACGTTTAGTGCTATGATGATTATCAGGGACACAAAGGGTAAAATAGCATCCAGGATCATCCACGCTTTACACACGTGTTGACCAAGTCTCCACGGTTCGAGTTCATAATAAATTGTCACTGTATCAACTAGCATGCTGTAGGCGAGGTCGGACACCGCCAAGTTAACCACCTGGGTATAGATGTACTGGTTGTGGGTCTGACGTCGACAAAGGAGCAGGAAAATGATAACAGAGTTTACAAGAAAGTTCCACAAACAGATGAAGATCCCGAAGCCAGCACTATGAACAAAGCCACGTTCGTATGAGCTGTTGTGATAGTCAGCCCACACATCGTCTGGGACGAGCAGGGACGGGGTGCTGTTGGACGTCATCTGCAACAGACAAAGTAAGCTAGTAAGGAGGCCATTGACCTGTCACTATCTCATAAATTATTCATTACACAACTACTGTCTTATGCAACACATATTACATCACCACTGTCATATACACCGGTCATTACATCACCACTGTCATATACACCAGTCATTGCATCATCACTGCCATATACACCAGTCATTACATCACCACTGTCATATACACCAGTCATTACATCACCACTGTCATATACACCAGTCATTACATCACCACTGTCACATACACCAGTCATTACATCACCATCATTTACATCACCATGTCATATACACCAGTCATTACATCACCACTGTCATATACACCAGTCATTACATCACCACTGTCATATACACCAGTCATTACATCACCACTGTCACATACACCAATCATTACATCACCACTGTCACATACACCAGTCATTGCATCACCACTGTCATATACACCAGTCATTACATCACCACTGTCATATGCAACACATATTACATCACCACAGTCATATGCAACACATATTACATGACCACTGTCATATACACCAGTCATTACATCACCACTGTCTTATGCACCACATATTACATCATCACTGTCATATACACCAGTTATTACATAACCACTGTCATCATATACACCAGTCATTACATCATCACTGCCATATACACCAGTCATTACATCACCACTGTCATATACACCAGTCATTACCATCACCACATATATACACCAGTCATTACATCACCACTGTCATATACACCAGTCATTACATCACCACTGTCATATACACCAGTCATTACATCACACTGCATATACACCAGTCATTACATCACCACTGTCATATACACCAGTCATTACATCATCACTGCCATATACACCAGTCATTACATCACCACTGCCATATACACCAGTCATTACACCATCACTGCCATATACACCAGTCATTACATCACCACTGTCATATACACCAGTCATTACACCATCACTGCCATATACACCAGTCATTACATCACCACTGTCATATACACCAGTCATTACACCATCACTGCCATATACACCAGTCATTGCATCACCACTGTCATATACACCAGTCATTACACCATCACTGCCATATACACCAGTCATTACATCACCACTGTCATATACACATTACTGTCATTACATCATCACTGTCATATACACCAGTCATTACATCACCACTGTCATATACACCAGTCATTACATCATCACTGTCATATACACCAGTCATTACATCACCACTGTCATATACACCAGTCATTACATCACCACTGTCATATACACCAGTCATTACATCACCACTGTCATATACACCAGTCATTACACCACACTGCCATATACACCAGTCATTACATCACCACTGTCATATACACCAGTCATTACATCATCACTGTCATATACACCAGTCATTACATCACCACTGTCATATACACCAGTCATTACATCACCACTGTCATATACACCAGTCATTACATCACCACTGTCACATACACCAGTCATTACATCATTGTCACATACACCAGTCATTACATCATCACTGTCATATACACCAGTCATTACATCATCACTGTCATATACACCAGTCATTACATCACCACTGTCATATACACCAGTCATTACATCACCACTGTCATATACACCAGTCATTACATCACCACTGTCATATACACCAGTCATTACATCATCACTGTCATATACACCAGTCATTACATCATTGTCACATACACCAGTCATTACATCATCACTGTCATATACACCAGTCATTACATCATCACTGTCACATACACCAGTCATTACATCACCACTGTCACATACACCAGTCATTACATCACCACTGTCATACACCAGTCATTACATCACCACTGTCATATACACCAGTCATTACATCACCACTGTCATATACACCAGTCATTACATCATTGTCATATACACCAGTCATTACATCATCACTGTCACATACACCAGCCATTACATCACCACTGTCATATACACCAGTCATTACATCACCACTGTCACATACACCAGTCATTACATCATTGTCACATACACCAGTCATTACATCACCACTGTCACATACACCAGTCATTACATCATTGTCACATACACCAGTCATTACATCACCACTGTCATATACACCAGTCATTACATCATCACTGTCACATACACCAGTCATTACATCATCAGTGTCGTGATTGGTGTCCCCGAAAGAGGTGATATGTATGGTACAAGAGTAGTTGAATGTTTGGAAGTATACGACATGGAGCAGTAGGACCCCGCCACGGTCGTCGTACAATGAGCCTGTACCGGCTCCTGTGGTCAGGTCCGGCAGCTGTACGACGTCATCGTGCCATGGAGGCGTAGATGGTGGCTCATGTTGTCAGACACTGATTGTCATAGTCCAGTTTCTACGAGGCAGAGACATAACATGCAGGATGCTGAGTGCGACGTTATGCAACATTCACTTGGTCATACCCAAAGCACTACTGGGTGGCCTTGCCTTCGTAACGCCTCAGTTGAAACATGAGGAATATTGATCACTTTTGGACGCTGATTGCACGTGTATATTTCCTGTACCATTTCCAGCATCCCATTTCATGACGCAAGTTGACGTATCAGGCTGTTCGTGTACATCAACACAAACACATTACTTGTGATTGAAACAGGCGTGATTGAGACCATCAATGTGAGCCGTGCGTCGCTTGTTGCGGAAGCTCGCCAGGCGATGAAGGAACAGAAACCAGTGGTTAGTAGGAAATGAAACGGGTTGTTTACTTAAACACCTGCTCGTGATAAACATGTTCTGTGTAGATAGTGCACAGATAACATAGTTAAGAGTTGTTTGATTTAACACAAGATAGAGTTCGGTGATCATTTATACCAGATGTCTTCATCGGTGATAAAGGCGATGGAAAGCTATTTTTTAACAAATTGTCTTGGAAACTTACAGGATAGACATACAGGGCCTTTAAGTGTGTGTTTGTTGAAAGACGAGGGGGTGAAGTGGAAAGACAGGTTGGGCCTAGCGACAAAAATACCTGTTGCAGTCACGCTCAGTCTATAACGAATGTTGCATGTGGAACTGATAGTGTTCATAATATTATGAACTTGGCAGTTATGCTTGCTTTAACTTCTCGCTATGTTCAATATTCTCGTTTTTCTCGTTTAATTAAATTGGTGACTTTTTAGTTTGATGATTGAGATGAGCTATTATTGATTGTTATTTGTTGGGGTGAATTAATATTGTAATATCTAGTGGGTTTTATTTGTTTGCGTGTGTGTGAGGTGAGGTGAGGTGAAATTGGGTTTAACGTCGTGCTTGAGAATGTTTCGCTCATATGACGACGTGCATGCGTGTGTAAGTGTATGTGCGGCTGCTTGTACTAGCCCAGACGTAAACTGGTTTTATAGTGCTATCTCATCGAGATACCACGCCGCAGTGAAGCCTGAATACCCCACTCAGACCCTACTGACTCCGACCCTACCAGTCCTTGTTGTACCCATTAATGCCGAGCGCCAGGCAGGGACCAACAAGTACCATATTTTAACGTCTTTTGGTATGACGCGGCCGGGCATCGAACCCGCGACCTTCCGCTCTCCGGGAGGACGCTCTAACCACTACACCACGGAGGCGGTCTTGCGTGTGTGTATGCTTTTGTGTTGTTGTTTTTTTTCATGTTCTACCTGCACATGACATATCGATTAACAAAGAATAGATGAAAAAACAAACACAATGGAGTCGGCAGCTTTAAATGGATGCAAGATCCTCAATGTAAAGATATCAGATGTTATATAGAGGACTACAATCAAGATCCTCAATGTAAAGATATCAGATGTTATATAGAGGACTACAATCATGATCCTCAATGTAAAGATATCAGATGTTATATAGAGGACTACAATCAAGATCATCAATGTAAAGATATCAGATGTTATATAGAGGACTACAATCAAGATCATCAATGTAAAGATATCAGATGTTATATAGAGGACTACAATCAAGATCATCAATGTAAAGATATCAGATGTTATATAGAGGACTACAATCAAGATCCTCAATGTAAAGATATCAGATGTTATATAGAGGACTACAATCATGATCCTCAATGTAAAGATATCAGATGTTATATAGAGGACTACAATCCTCAATGTAAAGATATCAGATGTTATATAGAGGACTACAATCAAGATCCTCAATGTAAAGATATCAGATGTTATATAGAGGACTACAATCAAGATCCTCAATGTAAAGATATCAGATGTTATATAGAGGACTACAATCAAGATCCTCAATGTAAAGATATCAGATGTTATATAGAGGACTACAATCATGATCCTCAATGTAAAGATATCAGATGTTATATAGAGGACTACAATCATGATCCTCAATGTAAAGATATCAGATGTTATATAGAGGACTACAATCAAGATCATCAATGTAAAGATATCAGATGTTATATAGAGGACTACAATCAAGATCATCAATGTAAAGATATCAGATGTTATATAGAGGACTACAATCATGATCCTCAATGTAAAGATATCAGATGTTATATAGAGGACTACAATCAAGATCATCAATATAAAGATATCAGATGTTATATAGAGGACTACAATCAAGATCCTCAATGTAAAGATATCAGATGTTATATAGAGGACTACAATCAAGATCCTCAATGTAAAGATATCAGATGTTATATAGGGACTACAATCAAGATCCTCAATGTAAAGATATCAGATGTTATATAGAGGACTACAATCAAGATCCTCAATGTAAAGATATCAGATGTTATATAGAGGACTACAATCAAGATCATCAATGTAAAGATATCAGATGTTATATAGAGGACTACAATCAAGATCATCAATGTAAAGATATCAGATGTTATATAGAGGACTACAATCAAGATCATCAATGTAAAGATATCAGATGTTATATAGAGGACTACAATCAAGATCCTCAATGTAAAGATATCAGATG